GGCGGGGGGGGCGGGTGCCCGGCCGGGGCAAGCGCGAGCTTGGGCTGGGAGAGTGACCGTCCGGCGTCCTGGGGGCCAGAGGGCAGGTGCTGGGCCGTGGAGACGGGAGGAGGGGGCTGCTTTTCTGGGGCCCGGCCGGGTGTCATCCTTCGGGGAACACTGGACCCCGGGTGGTGCTGGGTCCGCGCAGCTGGAAGACGAGCCGGGGATAGTTGGCGGCCCGTGGCCACTGCCTGTGTTTTGGGAGAATGGCCCTCCGTGACCACGTCTGTGCTCTGTTGAACGTCCTGCGCCTTAGAGGACAGAGAGGTGGATTTGCCCTGAGGATGCGCATCCGTCCCTGCGGATTTGGGGTTCTCTGGGGTGGGCTCCTTCCGAGGCAAGCTGGCCCCTCTCTGGGGGCTTCTTCTTAGGGAGTCCCAGCCCTGAGAGGTGGGCTGCCTGGAGGCGGAAGGCACGTGGTCATTTACCACGGTGGCAGGAAGTGGCTTCTCATCCTCCCGGTCTCCATGGATACCAGAATCCAGCCGGGGGTGCAGCACTGGGTGAGAATGAACCCTGGAGTGGACGCGAGGGGGCACCGTGGACTGAGGGGAGCCAGAGGGCTGCGGCCGAAGTCCGCGACCGCTGCCGAACCTGTTTGGAGACCTGCCATTGGTAGCAAAGGGCCTGTGTCTGAGTAAATGGAAGTGTCCAGAGGCAGGCCGGGTGCGCAGCGTCTGGGCAGTGGCCTCAGCCTGCCTCCCTCTGTCTTCTGCATCGCTGTCACTGTCTCCCTGGCCATCAGACGCATGCACCCCCCCAGAGACATGCGTCCTGGAGGAGAGGTGTGATGAGATGGAGGAAGACATGGCAGACCGTGATGGTGCATAGGAGTTGGTGGCTGGTGCCTCACGACCATCCTTCCAGCCCCTGGAGAGTGGAGGACCTGGGTGTGGTTGGGTGGGTGGCAGGCGAGGTGACCCCCCATGGGGTGGAGAAAGTCTCGAGGGTGGGGCCGGGGCGCTGGAATCTTCCTCCACGGCCCCAGAATGGGGTGGCCTCCGCACTGCCAAGGCTGGTTTTGTGCCATGGTGCACGGAGCTTCTGTCCCGCAGGACGCTGGAGACAGACTGACGGCTGGGGGACAGGGCTAGCCGGGGGTGGGTGGAGGTGTCCTTGGGGTGAAGAGAGCCTGCTGCCTGCTCCTCCTTGTCTCTGTCCGCTGAGTCGTTGTCAACAGAACTGGCAGGCAGGCTGCCAGAAGGTCTCCCTGAAGAGCGGTGAGAAGTGCCCTGGGTGGCCAGGTGGTGGGCAGGAGAGGCCGATGTGGAGGAGGCTGCCCCTGTACGGGGGTGAGTGGCCTGTAGGGAGCCACGCTGATCTACGCCTTCTCTGCGGGGCAGCACTGGTGTCCGGGCCCTCGCTGGAGTCCTGCCAGGAGCAACCGAGTGGCCATGTCTGCTTATCGGCCTCAGAGCTCGCCTCTGGTCTTGGGTCTCCAAGGGGGACGTGGGTGGGTCCTCGAGGGAATCTGGCTCCTCCTCACTGGTGACTTCTGTTGACTGAAGATCCACCCCTTCAGTCTTCTTAGGGTGAAGCTGGGGTTTTCTGGGCACCCCACCATTAGCCAGTATTTTGTTCTTCAAGTCAAGAAGAAGGTCCTTGACATTTCCACCTCTGGGAGAAACAGGCAGAAGAGGGTGTTTTGAGGAAGCTGGGGCTTTGGGAGAAGATGAGGAAGGCTCAGGTTTTTCAGGTTTCCCATCATCCTCTGTGTTTTGCCGAACATTCGCCTCACGGCTACTGGCTGCAACAGATTTTCAAGAATTGACAAAGGAGAAATTCAAAAGCTCTGTGACACAAAATGCGTATTTAAGATGGCAGTATGGAAGCATTTCAAATAGTAGTCATGACTGATGACTTCTAAATGCTTAGAACACTGGAAATTTATTTTTTCAATGACTGTTCCTTTTTAACGTTCTATTTTGCTTGAAGTAACAGATATAGTCCTAGAAAATATACATGAGTTGAATCTCTATACATTGAATAGGTTTTGCCACAGCTTGTTATCTGAAGGAATTCTGAAATGAGTACTTTGAAATAATTAGTTGATTTTGTAAATGCAAAATCTTATGTAGGATTTTCTTAATATAATTAATTGTCAGCCTATTACAAAGGCATTATAGCTATTCTTTTTTTTTTTTGAGTTGGCGTCTCACTCTGTCGCCCAGGCTGAAGTGCAGTGGCACGCTCATAGCCACCCCAGCGTCAACCTGCTGGGCTCCGGCGATCCTTCCGCTACAGCTTCCAAGTAGCCAGAACTACAGGTGTGTGCTACCACACCCAGGTAAGTTTTTATTTATTGTAGAGATGAGGTCTAACCAAGTTGCCCAGGCTGGTCTCAAACCCACAGGCTCAGGCAATCCACTTGCCTCAGCCTCCCAAAG